TTCACTGAGCTTTTTACTGCGATTCTGGTCATACAGATCGAAGCTGGTCGGGTTGAATCCATGAAATCACACCCTCGTCCCAGCAGATTGTGTGAGCCTCCCATTTCAATCTCCACACATCATGCTCCTTTCTATGTCTTATACATGATGGTCCGTGGCCCACCGGGCCTAATCATGGCTTTTCTGAAAGCGATTCGAAAATTTTCGTTTTTGGAAGCACCATCTCAGTGCGCTCCCCGGCCATTGTGGGCGGGGCCTATACTAGCTTATGTATGCCTCATACAGGTTGGCCCACGGCACACCCAACCCAAACTTGACCCGGTGCCCGAGGGTAAATTCAACCTAGCTCCCGATTTCCAGCTTACATGCAGACACCGAGAAATTTCTGGTTTATATCTGTAGGGAGATATTTCAGTGAACGCCGATGGGAGCGCGGTGATATATCCTTCGTTTTTAATGCCAAGGCTAAGTACGAGTCCGATGAGCTTATTATCATGGACAACAATGCAAAGGTCAGTTTTCTATCCCTGTTCCTCGGCATCAGAAGTAATTTTCACTACCATTCGGGGCAAAGCCTTACGTACAAGGGGAGGGAAAGGGAACGTTCACAACACGTCGCGCTTTGTTGCATATCGGGTTATGAGAAATACCCTTTGAGATTCTTACGTATGTATTTCTCTATGTACTCCTCAAGTGCTCCTGCATGCACTTTTTGGGTAAAACCATGTTCTTATGTTCTTCTTGTAAGCCAAACGCTGCTCTCGAGAAATGTACTGCACTCTTTCCTTGTCAAATTACGATCTTGTGCAGTCGGGAAGTCTGTAGCCTTGATGGTAGTGAGGGTTTTTCAGATTCCTTGCTCACTCAAGTAGAGCTCGACAGTTTCTGTAGGGAATCTCATTATCTTGAATAATCGTCTGTCTGATCTGCCGGTGATGCAGTGGCAGAAGGTCCGCCTACCACGGGGTCAAATTCCACGGCTTCGCTGTTACAGCAGCCTTCTATGTACAAAGACGGTAATAAGCTGGTACGAGGTTCATCTGGGAGGACAAAGACACTGACTTGCACATCAGCTAGCCTCCAAAAGTCATTGTATAGGCCATGTCGCATTCAGTGAGCCACTACGATTCTGAATAGAAGTAGAATGTCTGCCTCATACCAAAAGGGATCGGACAACAGCGAGATTCATTCTTTATTAGTATTTATATCGGCCTAGCTTCTCATCAAACTTTTTATTCGTTTTTCAATTTCGCGTTTGTCCGTCCTCCTCGGAAGTGGGTTTCGCAGCTTGGGCAATTGGTGACGATCAGATCGCATCGCGTTACCATCGCTGACGTCGTGAATGCTATTTGCAACCTTATGAGAAAATCGGAGGACGTTGAGGGAACTAGTAGCTCCTACACTATCTGTCCAATGAAATTCCATAAGGGGAGTGAACTAATGGAAGAGAGTTATCTCAGTCTTACTTCCATTACGTTTCTCATCGTTTCCGAATATCACTTTTTACCGACCATCTTTACACCTCTCTCAATTAAAAATTAAGAATGTATAGGCAGATATGTCAGCATAGATGTAGGTATTTGAAACATTCATTCTGGCATATATTAGTTGACTTGAGCTCGTCGTAATTTCAAAAGAAATCATCGAGCATAGCTATCCCTCTTCAGGTGTTCCAACGAGTACGTCATGAGGAATCTGAGGCCGAAGTCGATGAAGAAGTGGATGTGTTGATGTCGTCGGATATCGTTTCAGCTCAGGTTTGTACAATGTAGCTTGGAAAGTCGAGTTTTGATCAATTTTCAGAATTATTTATATTATATTATTATTATTTATTGATTATATTATTATTATTATTATTATTGATTATTTGTTATATATTAGTATGTAGTAGTATGTTAGTTAGTATATATTTTATAATCATTTATTTTCCAGATGTCAACGAAAACGAATCACTTTTCGACAAGCGTTTTCTGGATGGGTTTTCAAACATGCTAGAGAGGTAATGTCTGTTTTAACATTGGCCTACTATCTGCCATAGTAATAACGGTATAGTCCTTTTAGCAGGGCGTGCCGTTTTAATGCTCGTACAAATAAAATGTTGGTTTTCCACTTCAGGAGCAAATTGGTGACTATAATGTCAATTTCTATCTGGTAGAAGGAATGAGATTAGTATCACGAAAGAGACGGGAGCATCTGACTGCTGATGATATTAAAAAGAACAAATCTTTCATGCAATCGTTGGCAAGTGGTGCTGCTGTGGGTGATGAGGATTTCAAGGTAGAATTTGCTCTCCGACTTGATTTTTCTTTACGTTCTTTTTTGAAGGCCCGTTAAGTAGTTTTTTTTTTCAGAATTCTATCATGAAGGGTTTTTTATGAATTCTTTCAAGCGATTTTTTGAGTGAGTTGTATTCAGAGCCTTCAACATCGGAAGTCGTTAGCACCACCTGGTCGAATGCCAACAACTTGGGAGGAATATGTGGGTGCCGCGCCTGGAGCCGCCCCACCTCTCGGAAGGGCACAAATCTTGAAACAGAATGAAAAACAATTCACCGCTCTTATTGGAATGGTAAGTTCTTTGCTATTACGTTTTCAGTGCTTTTTTTATTTATTTTTTTTAATATTTCTATGTATGATATATTATTCCTCCTCATCTTTCTGCTCCATTTTCTCGAGTTTGTTCAAACCTTAACATTAGGGGGAATGATAATGATGATGGTGACCTCTCTCCCTCCTGTTCTCTCTCTTTTTTGAATATTAGCCCCACAAAAGTACTATTCCTGATAGTTGGTCGGAGGAGTGTACCCCACCCCACACTCATCACGACGCCAAAATGTTCCTTATTGTTAAGAAGGAAGGTAGTTTACGCAAGCAGAATTCTGCTGAAAAAGGATTGAGAGTGAGGGGGGGGGCTAATATCTAGGCAAATTTTCTGCAGCGACAACACGGTAATGTAGCTCAATTATGAAGTGTCAAACGGTGACATTTAGGAAAGTTTACCTTCAGACTTGATGCCACTGAAATTTGGCATCCAACTGCTTTGTTCTCTTTTTGTTTCATAATGTCCCTCACCTCTTTTGGACTGCGCGCCATTATTTTTCGGATGATCAGTATTACAAAAACCTGGTTTTCTCTTTTTTATTTTTTTTTTCTTTCGAACAATCTGTACGATTTCCAGAGCGAAGATTTCCCCATGGGAATAGATGTTCTTCTCGATATTCTCGAAATTGTCGCACCATTTAAGCATCTCGATAAATTGCGGCGTTTCTGTGAAGCAAGACTTCCGCCTGGTTTCCCTGTGCGTGTAGGTATGTCCCCTTAATTTTTTGGTGTTTTTCAATTTTTTTTTCAAATTTTATCGAAGCCAGCCTTAAGTTTGATTACCAACTCAGTAGGCTTGTCCTGAGGTAGGAATGAATTTTGTGTAAAGGCGCCATCCATCACGACCAGTTGTGAGCAGAGGGTTCAGTTATGGATGTTCTGGTCCTGGTTAGCTCTTAGTAATGGAAAAACGAGAGAAGAGTTCGAAATGCCCTTAGATCGAATCCCCTGCCGATCCGAAATTGTGCGAGCGCACGGCGAAGAGGAGGAGCGGGATATCGTCTTATGGTGTTTATCGACGGACCCAAGCTGATAGTTTTGTCGCGGGCAGGGCACTTTGTACGTTGGGACCGCAGCGTACGACGGGGAGGGGCGTATTTGTTCGGTGGAGAGAGGGTC